AGAAAAATCTCTCCTGGAACGGGATTCGAACCCGCACATCGCGCGGCGACTGATCAGCAGACCGAAGAGTCTACTACTGCGGCCACCGCTGCTGCCTGTTGCCATGCTGATGGGTAGCTAAAAAAACACGAAATAGCTGTCCACTCTCTTTTGGTCGGACGACGAAAGCATCATGTTTAGTTTAGCCCTTACCATCGGCAAAATGTCAACAACCCGGCGACGAAGTACAAAGGCGACATTTTTGTGAGTGGCTACTACAAATGAATAATGAAAACGCAGATTTTATTGATTTGGTTTTGTGGTCAGAAGAATCGCTTTTTACGAGGAGTGGAATCTTTAATTCTCATAATGAACATATTTGGTCGTTAGAAAATCCCTCTTCTGTAAGAATCCACTCGTTTCAACGCACATTTTCTAGAAATAACTGGTGCGGCGTTTTCAATATGCATGTATTGCCGCAACGTTTAAATGCAAACTCGTACTTAGCTTTTCTAGAGAATTACATAGAACATGTGTAAGATGATGTTCCGTTAGCAACGAGAGTACTAATGTGGTATCAGCACGACGGTGCTCCACCGTACGTTCGTCATGATATAACTGTATAGTTAAATAATCATTTTAGACAACGGCGTAGGCTGAACAAATTAATACTGTTGATCAGTTACAAGAAAGAATAGAGAATGCGTTTCGTCAAGTTCTAGCCACAGCAATTTTTGCGGAAATACGTGTTTCTTTTTTTGATCTAATTAGAGTTTTTTTATTTTTACGAAAACAATGCACTCTAGGAAAAAACACAAGAGTAATGATTTGTAGCAAATTCTAGGCAAAATTATAAAAATTGCGCGTTTCGAAAAAGAAACAGGGGCGTACTATTTTTATTTTGAAAAATAATGCCAATTGTCTCCTTTATCTCCAGCACTGGTGCACGTCAAATTTAAGGAAATACTTTTTAATGTGGACAATACTTGGGTAAGTCTACATGCTAACTTCTAAACTAACTAAATAACTAAAATTGTTTTTTATTTTTAAACTTCAACATCTTTTTAATGATGCCATCGAAGAAAAGGTGTTACATAAAATGCGGTACTGCGTATTATGTTTCATTTTTGGTCTGGACTTGTGAATCATCCCGTATAACACGCCACATGTAGTTCTCAGCCCCACGAGAAAGAAGTGAGTTTCGTACAATTGCACCCTGAATTGCACCCATTTGATAAGTATTTTACTGAAGTCTAAACTACATGTTTCAATCTCACTCGGTAGTACGCAGGTAAAAATCATCTGTGTCACGTTCTCTGGGTGAACGAACCGAATTATTATTCCTGGTAAATGGTGTGAGCAACGGACATTTCACCCCCATATCACTGTTTATGAAAAGGCTCATTTACTTGGAAAATCAAATGGGTTTTGCCAGGGGCTTTGTTAGGATATCAATACATTCTCCAAACGCGTATCCACAATTGATGTGCCCCCAAAGGAAGTCATGAAGGAGTTTCCAAAAGAAAGTGTTGTTAAGATACTGAGTGATGTTAATGATAGATATGATATTACGGATCGAAAATAAAACAGTAGCAATAATTCGAAAGCTGCGTGATACGGATCAAACCTACAGAAATGGAAATTGTGGTGCCAGAAATGACGTGCTGGGTTGCGGTAATTTTGTTAATAGATTCGAATCACACCTGGGAGTATACAGTAATAATAATAACACTAATACTAATAACTACAGTAATAGTAATGGCAGTAATAATAATATTTGTGTGTCTCGAAGAAATGATACATTTTTGATACACAAAACATATGTTGAGCTAAAAATAAATCCTGAACCCACAGAGGAAGAGCAATTGTGAGCTTGTGCAACAATTAAACAACATTCTAACATTTAATAATAGTTTCAAATTAAATAAACTACATAAGTACGTATAACTTATATACGTCTTGATCAGGGTGGGTAGTATTTTAATGAACTTCCTACTTGTATAAATATCTCAATCAGGGTTGTACTTTTCGTATTCGTATTATTTTAGGAGCTGAGTGTGTCAGAATCAGGTTGCAATTATTGTAGAAATCCTTACAAAACAAAGTTTGGCTGTCTATTATTACGATGATGTACATTTCTTACACCACTACCTATGCGACAGCTTTTATCAACGGAATACACACATCTGGTTCACCTAATTGTTCTGTTGTCTCCTGAAGAGGGATATAAAAACTAAGAACGACATTATTTCTGGTTGTTGAGTGTACACAATACTATTTGAAGTAAGTGCTTACCAAGAAGATCTATTGCGACTCTGTAAATCATAAACCGCCACAGGCAAGGACCGCTTGGGATGTCATTTTCTCGTGGAAAATTTCTATTCTAGGCTAGCCCGCAACTGAGGCGAACAAAGAAAAGTTGAACAGACCCTCGAAGGGCAAAACATAAGAACCACAGGAGATCTTAGCACTAACGCAAGGACCAATAAAGATACACGAATACTAATATTACTGGGAAAGTGTTAGGACAACGAACCAAAATTGAAAACATTTACAAAAACACCAGTGGAAAAACTTAACCTAATGTAACCTCTCATATATTGCAGGGGCGATGATATATTTTTTCTTTTATTTTAGAGGTCACCGGGTTTAACTTTTCCGCGAATAATGATGTAATTCACCTTGTTACCAGCAGTTACTGGCATCAAATAATTCTGTAAATCGCTGGTCTGTGACCAAAAACTGCGTTGCTGTCTCCTCCACACGATGGCGCTACATCTTGAAATGCATTAAGATCAAATTTTGACCTAAAGCAGCCGCAACGTGGATGAAGTGTAACCTGAGAGATTATTTCTGAGAAGCCGCTAAAAATTCTCAACAAGTTTCCTTTGTCATGAGAATAATTACGTTCAATGACGTTAGAAGCGTTAAACCCAGAAAAAATAATTTCTTCGACATATCTTTCTTTTTTTTTGCGAATGCCATAATGTCAGTTTCATCGGAGAATCGCGATTCTGTTAGATACGCACATGGTCGTAGAAAGGTATGACACCGCCGTGGAGAACGGCGTGATATTGGATATGCTGTTGAGAGGCATCTACACAGGACTGTTGTAGTAAGGGTTTGAGGGCTATTGCTTATGGTAGCCGATCACCCCTCCTCTTTGTTCAAGGCAAAGTCGCACAAAACGAAAATATATCTAAAACGCTATTAACTGAATTATAATTACGGCACATTACATAGATAAGGGAAAACTTAAGTACGTCAGTCCTAGGCCTGGCTAAATAAAAAGCTGAACTAGATCGAGACGCTAATCTAGGAACTAAGAAGTTAAGTTGATCTAAGATGACACTGGAGTCAATAATGCCATGGATGAGCTTGTGAATGAACTTAAGTGATTTCATTTTGCGTCTGCTCTCTAAATTATAGATTTTGTGTCTCGCCATCAACTCACTATGAGGAAAGCCAATAGCGGGATATATCCCGTCAGCTTTGTATAAGAGGTACTTTAAAAACTTTCTTTGAACGGACTCTAAGCGGTCAATATATATTTGATGATGAGGATACCATACCAGGGACGCATACTCAAGCTTAGATCTTACATAAGCATAGTACAGTATTTTCAGTGTAAAGGAGTTGTGGAAATCACCGGTATCTCTTACAATAAAACCATACGCCTTTGATGCAGCCACAGCAGCCTTTTCAATGTGATTGGAGAAGGAAAATTTTCTGTCAAATGTGACTCCCAAGTCATTAATTGTACTAGGTCTGTCAAGTTTCCTGTCACCAATACTATATTCATACATCATTACCCCTGTTTTCAAAGTAAACGACAAAACGTGACACTTAGCAGCATTCAAAACAAGTCTGTTTTCACGACACCAGCTGTCAACCCTTACAATGTTGCATTGCAAGCAAAGACAATCGTCAATGTTAGAGACTCTACAGAAAAGCTTCATATCGTCAGCGTATATAAGAAAGTTGACATCGATAACTTCAGAAATATCATTTATGAACATAATAAATAACAGAGGTCCCAAATTAGATCCTTGAGGAACACCGGAGATTACAGGGTATTCGCTTGACTTATGTCCATTGCATATAACATATTGTTTCCTATGACATAAATAAGATCTGAAAAATAGCAACAATGCATCTGAAAGACCAAATCTAGATAACTTATTGAGTAGGATTGTAGAATTGTGCTTGCTTTTATTTATTTATTTATTTACTTATTTACCAACATCCAACAGCCATACAGGATGGATAAACATGAAAATATAAACAAATGCATGTTGTGGATGTATGTAGAGAAAGCTAACACGCTGCAAAAAAAAACCTCAAAACAGAACTGGGAGGAAAAAAAAAGCGTTCTAGCTTTACCTACCCAGCACTCAACAATCACACCAGCAAGTATTAACGAAAATAAGCATTAATGTCTCCCAAAGTCGCACAAAACGAAAATGTATCTAAAACGCTATTAACTGAATTATAATTACGGCACATTATACGAGTATATATAGGAGAAAACTCAAGTATGTCAGTCCTAGGCCTGGCTAAGTAAAAGGTTGAACTAGATCGAGACGCTAATCTAGGAACTAAGACGTTAAGTTGTTCTAAGATGACACTGGAGTCAATAATGCCATGGATGAGCTTGTGAGTGAACTTAACTGAATTCATTTTGCGTCTGCTCTCTTAGGCCCGTATCGTCAGTCGTCCCTAGAATTGTAGGGTGCGTTTATGGCCTCCCTGATTGTCATACTCCATTCTCTCCTTCAAAAATTTCTAGATTACACTTGTCCCGTGGCAGCGTCAGCGCTCTCCTATTATGAAGATATGTTTTATTTTTAAATTGTAGGAAATTTGAGGCTGATAAAACATGATATAACTTAAAAGCAAGCACAATTTGATACAAATAGATGTTTGTGACATAACCTCAAAATAGAGCGCTGACACGGAGAAGTAGAAAACTATGACAATCAAGGAGGCCATACAGGCCCCCTACAATAGGCTATTTGACTAATTTTGCAAAATCATTTTAAATTATTCTTTTATATATAATGAGCACACTACATGAATATTTCCTGAAAATCTATACTATTTTTAATAGAAATCAAATTTAAAGTTTGAATTTTTAGAACCGCGCCAAAAACGCTATTCCTGTGATGGCGCCGGCAGATGACGTCTGTGACGTCACACGCCAGTAAACACGATCACGACCTGTCAGCCGAAGTTAATTTCATTATTGTGCTTGATTTTGCTATAAAATCATAGATAAAATGGTCTATAAATGGTGTGTAGTGCCAAAATGTACGAGTACGTCTATAAATAGTCCACAAACATTGTTTGTTTCTGTTCCAACCGATTGTAAAAGACGAAAAAAGTGGTTACTATTAGCTCGGAGAGACCCAAAGGGCATTTCATCGACTTCAAATGTATTTATGTGTAAAGATCACTTCGATGTAAGTATAAATTGAATATGTTATCTACTAGGTAGCTTAAATTACCGCTTTTTTAAGATTGAAATAATATATAACTATCTATAACCTCAAATGTATCTTTGGTTATGTTGAGGATAAGTCAGTGTTGAGGATCAAAGATCCTGTTTATTAACCCTAAACTTATTACTCTGTAGGGTTTCAAAATGTTTTCTGTTGTTTTGATTATATTAGCTACCTACATATCTCAATAATTTTCTATGCTGTGTCATTTTACCTACTTTGCTTATTAGATAGTGATAGTTATGTTGAATTGCAGATGGAAAAAGACACCATTAACTACATGCAGTACAAAATGGGTTTCAGCAAGAAGATACTTTTGACAGAAGATGCTGTGCCAACAAAATTTCATTGTCAAGAAGATCGTAAAAGACCACTGTCTGATGCTGGACTTTCTCGAGGAGCATATGTCAAGAGGAAAAGAATGGATTTGGTCAACACATGTTTGCAAAGTCAAAATGCTACTGAAGCCCAAGCTGAAAGCTTACAAAAAGATGAGAGTTTGATACAAGACATTATTGAACCTCAAGGTATGTAATCTATTACATGTCCTATCATAAATTATAGTCTAAGAGCTGATAGACATTTTTGTAACCTATTTGAGGCCTTATAAAAACTTGTCTACTACTTCTTCCATTATTTCTGAATAAAAAGGGCAGAACTGAATAACATATTTGTAGCACATTGAGATTTTCACAGAATAATATTTATGGTTTAAAATTGATATATTCAAAGTGATAGGTCATTTTAGTGCGACATTTTACTTGCTAGGTGATCAAGAATGCTCAACTTGTACTTCAGGTAATGGGTAATTTTCTCTCAAGCTGTTGATGTTGTGATTCACTATCCCTTATCCAGCACTGCACTTTTTCTTCAGTGATAATGGTAGTAGGAAGTAGTAGACAACTTTTCATAGTGCCTTAACATAATCATTTACATTGAAATTAAGACATTAATTTTGAGTCTTTGTTCTTTCAGGTTTATCAAGAATCAAGTCAGAGAAACTATTACCAACTCTATCATAACTGCAGAAAAATCTGTGCAAGTAACAATAAAAGAGAATGTGCATCATAGGAGCAAATCTGTGCAAACAAGATGCCAGACTACAAGTATTTCTACCTCACCAATGAAAGTTTCTACAACATCTCGTTCCACTTCGCCCTTTAAGATTAAACCATGCAGTCTTCGACCATCACAGTCTGAAATTGTCAAAGCAGTCAAGAGAAATGTTTTTCTTGAAGATGAAAAGTCAGATAGTGATATTTCCTGTATTGAAAGTGGTCGTCATTTATCACCTTTTGTAACTAAATCAGCATCATCATCATCAGGGCTTACCGACTCTGATAGTAATGTTACAGATGCCAATGAGAATATTGAAAAATTAGAGTGCCTCAAAATTACTGTGCGTTCAATCTCTAAAACACCAATGATGTATGTTGGTATTCCAAAAGAATGTTATTTCTTAATCAAATTGTTACATAAACACACAAGCATAAAAGTAGAACACATTTTGCTATGCTTGAAAAAGATTAGAATGAACAGTACATTTTCTGAACTGGAGGATAATTTTGGAATATCATTATCTTATGCTAGTAAATTGTTTCTACAAAATATACCAATAATAGCTAGTGTTTTAAGACCATTCATTGTAAATATAGATAAAAAATTGGTAAAAAAAAATCTTCCTATTTCATTTAGACATAACTATCATAATGTCAGTTGCATCATAGATTGTTTAGAGATTGATATACAAAAACCATCAAAGGCTCTTCATCAGTCATTGACGTGGTCAGAATACAAAAAGGGGAATACTGTGAAGTATTTAGTATCCTGCACACTTAATGGTTTAGTTAATTATGTTTCGCATGGGTTTGGGGGCAGAACCAGCGATGCCACAATAGTAGAAAATTGTAACTTTCTAGATGGATTACCCCAAGGATCCTGTTGCTTAGCTGACAGAGGCTTCAAACACCTTGAACAAATACTTCATGAAAAGGGACTAAAACTATTAAGGCCACCAAGTGTAAATGCTGGTGCAAAGTTGTCAAAAACTGAAGTTCGACAAACTAAAATAATAGCTAGTTTGCGGATTCATATTGAAAGGGTAATAAGGCATTTGAGAGAATTTCATATTTTAAAGCAACATTCAGTGATAAATACTAACATACGTCGTGTACTTGATCATGTCATTATAATTGCATGTGCTCTAATAAATTTGCAAGATTCTCTTATTAAATAATGGGTTTTTGCCTGTTATGATACTTTTTACTTAATTATTATCATGTAATCTCCTCTTTTGTGACATACCATTTGAACTTTGTGTTTTGTACTTGGCTGAATAAATACTTCTACTACTACTACTATAAATAAAGAAATAAATGATGTAAAACCATGAATAAAATGATAATAAAACAAGAAATATGCACTGCATAGTTTTTTATTTGATAATCACAGACTAGTGCTACGATACAAAATAGGATATATATTTTTTTTTCCAAAAAATATACAAGTTTTTTATTAAGTTGTTGACATAATCATCTTCGTACTTCACTAGAATAATATCTACATTTTTTGTTTCTTCAAAGTTGCTATCAGCAACACAAAAATAACATTTTTTCATACCAGTTGCATGCATCTGTAATTGAACCTGTGCCTTACATTTCTCTGAAATAATTCCATTTTTTAAATAATTGTTCTTAGCATTTGCTTTGGTAGGGCATTTTATTTCAACAATGGCATCTTTCAATAAACCATCAGGAGATGCTGCAAGCATGGGATTGTCTTGGCATACATAAAGTCCACATGTTCTGATTTTTTTGTTCAATGTTGTACTAACTGTCTTCCGGACAGATAGCTCCAAACTTCTACCTCTTTTCATTGCAATAGTATCTGGTATTTTTGCGCCCATTATAGTAGCAACCAATGAACCATCATGTGTATGACATACGCTCACTTCATGTGCCTTTGAAGCTGTGATACGGCCATACCTCATCTCATACCACAAGCTGCTCTTGTACTGCATTCTTGTTGCTTCTTCAATTGCACTGATAGCAGCTCTGTTGAATGTTGTCTTCATTATGTCTACAAGATTGTCTACGTCTGCTTGAATTTTTGGTGGTTGGTCCATTATGAAACAGTGCAGCGAATACCGTATAACATTTCAGTGTTTAAAATCGTCCTGATATTTTATCAATTCGCAGTGTTGAAGTTTTCTTTTTTTGGCTTCCAAAACAAAGTCTGTGTAAAGTGCTGATGTACTTGGTCTGTGTGGTACTTCCTTTTTCGACATCTGCTGCACAGTGATGTACTTCAGAGTAGTCCCTACTCTTGAAAATGTTGGCTTTTTCCAATAATATTCCACCGAAGTAGATGGAGGTTCCTCACTGCGCCGATGTACCCACATCAAAAAAGCGACTGCATGCTTGCATCCTCCTGCTGAAGCAGCACAGTCATGGCACTGACAACTTATTATCTCGCTTTCATTTTCGTTGATAACCATTGTCACATTATAAGCTTTTGATCTCACTTTGTGCTCTGGGCACATTTTGCACTTAAGTGTGCAAAGTCCATGCTCCCGGTGCAGCTGCACATAGCCAATTGCATCGTCTCCGTAGGACTCCCTTCCAGACCTGTAAAACAAAAGCAAAACATGAAAGTATGTTTTATTCATGAAACCATATATGAACCATATTATCATATTGAACTGAAAGCTTTTTTCATTACATCAACATAACCTAAAATAAGATTGATTTTACAAATCTTTTAATGATCATACATAAAGGTTAGTAGGTTTAAATAAATACTTTCTATTACTACTTACATTGTTGTTTTCACATGTTTGAGTTCCGCAGCATAGTAGTCCGCATTATTTTTGAAGAAAAATGCTACCATTAATGCGTCAACCTTAGGTAGATTGCTGTTATCAGCTTGCACAAAATTTAGGTCCATTTTGAAGTCCACAACGAATAATGATGTCAATAGTTGAAAGATTGATCAAGAAAGTAATAAAAATCTGTTTATGAAATAGAATTATGATAGAATATCTCACAGAAAGCCAGCAAAAACGTACAACGCGATGTTTGTTTACTTGCATGTGACGTCACCAGAGTCGCAGCCAATCGCAGGGCGTTTCTGTGACCCATCGAATTTTTAAAAATAGCTGATTTTTATTTGATTATTTCCCAAAAAATATACATATTTAGGTGTACATTAAAGTACTATGTGTTTTCTTATTCTACTATCTAATAGGATGACCACAATTCGCAACTTATTTTCAATACTGTCAAATAGCCTATTGTAGGGACGACTGACGATACGGGCGTAAATTATAGATTTTGTGTCTCATTATCAACTCACTATGAGGAAAGCCAATATCAGGATATATCCCGTCAGCTTTGTATGAGAGGTATCTTAAAAACTTTCTTTGAACGTACTCTGAGCGGTCAATATATATTTGATGATGAGGATACCATACCAGGGACGCATACTCAAGCTTAGATCTTACATAAGCATAGTACAGTATTTTCAGTGTAAAGGAGTTGTGGAAATCACCAGTATGTCTTACAATAAAACCATACGCCTTTGATGCAGCCGCAACAGCATTTTCGATGTGATAGGAGAAGGAAAGTTTTCTGTCAAATGTGACTCCCAAGTGCATTATTGTATTAGGTCTGTCAAGTTTTCTTTTACCAATACTATATTCGTACATCATTACCTCTGTTTTTAAAGTAAACGACAAAACGTGATACTTAGCAGCATTCAAAGCCAGTCTGTTTTCACGACACCAGTAGTCAACCCTTACAATGTTGCATTACAAGCGATGACAGTCGTTAATGTTAGAGACTACAGAAAAGTTTCATATCGTCAGCATACATATATAAGAAAATCGACATCGATGACTTCAGAAATATCATTGTAGAACATAATAAATAACAGAGGTCCCAAATTAGATCTTTGAGGAACACCGGACATTACAGGGTATTCGCTTGACTTATGTCCATTGCACATAACATACTGTTGCCTATGAAATAAATAAGATCTGAAAAACAATGCATCTGAAAGACCAAATCTAGATAACTTATTGGGTAGGATGTTATGATCTAAACTATCAAACGCGTTAGAGAAATCAGTATATATTACATCCGTTTGTAGTTGTCTATCGATTGATTCACAAACATATTGAGTAAGATGTAGCAAATTAGTAACTGCTTTATGAAACCGTGTTGACTGATGGAGATAGACCTGCTTACATGGAAATATATCACAGTTTGTATCACTATTTCGAATGTTTTAGCGAAATTACTGATAATTGTGATAGCCCGATTGTTTTCTACTTTATTCTTCTCACCTTTGTTAAAAACAGGAGTTACCCTAGACAACTTCCAAATAGATGGAAATTGATTATTTTTCAGAGAGAGATTGAAAATGATCATGAGTGGATATGCTAAAATGGACGCACAATCTCCAAAAAGAATGCAGGTATTTGATCAGGCCCTGCAGTCATTTTTGGCTTAATTTTCTTGAGCGCCTGTAGCACATCGATTTCCTGTACGCTAGGCATAGCTATTGTAGTAGTGATATGGTAGTGAGTAGAAAAATCAGATTGAGCTGTTGGAGTATTATAGCTCCCACTAAAGTGTTCCGCAAATGCGCCAACTACATCATTAGGTGTATTCAACCCCCGCCCATTGAACAGAATATCCTTCGGAATACCAGTGCAGTTTCTTTTTCTATTAACAAAAGACCAGAATTTGCCGGAGCTGTTGGATATTTCACTCTCTAAAGAGTGAATGTAGCGACGATATGAAACAGCTACATGATAACAGCGATATCATAACCTAGTCAGGAAAAAGGTATAAAAAAATTATCCTTTTTCATGCCAACAGTATCTAGACTGTTAGAGCTGTAGTTAGACATCTACCTCACCTCATGGCGACTTTGTCAGCATCTATAGCCGAACTAAAGGCCGCAACTGACTGAAGCCGTGCGCTGTAATATAACGCTCACATTGAGCGATACATTACAAAGTTTGCGATTTGAGCCCAGCAAATGTTGACTTGGAATGCTCGGCTCAACAATGCTCCACATTTCACTAGTGCAGTCTGTGCCGAAATGTCAGACCTAGAAGTAACTAGTGTTGCGTTCAAAATCGAAAAAATCTACACCTTGTGATAATCTTTTGGTTCCCGTTACTACGAATTTAAATTTTTGCTCAATTTTGTTTGTATTATGTAATTCTGAATAATGCTGCTGTAAATTGTTGCCTAAAATTTAACGCTAGCTGCTATACTTTTTTCCGAAAGAAGTATTTAAATTGAAAGCTTTTCTCAATTTTGTTGTGTAACGGTAACATTTCTCATCACTGCAATCTGAGGAAATTTTTTCCATGAAAAGCCCATACACCTTGGGAAAAAAATTATTATACATTATGATGAGGAAGAGAGATGGAAATATACAAAAGTATGAAGGTGCGTGAAAGACACTCGATTGTAGGATCCTATGTGGCAGCGTCTGAGTGTGACGGAAAACGGGGTAAAGTAGAAGAGTGATAAGAGAGAGAGATGGCAGAACGGGCGCTGGCGCCTACCGCTTAGACGGATGCGCTCAACAAATGCGATTTGTTTCTCCCAGTCGCAGAGTTGCCGATACCAATATGTCATATTTCTAAGAAATCTAAGTCTACCCAAATTTCGGGAAAAATAGCTGCGGATTCCACATAAGAGTATTCCAAAATTGAAAAAAGTTCAAATTGTATTAATGTTTCATGGTTCAAATCATATTTTTCATGTTTGTATATTGTTGTATAAATGGTTTTGTAATCCCTATTCTTGTTGCCAGTAGAGATACAACAGTATTGAGAGAAATCGTGGACCGCTAGATAGGGCTACAACTACTATATGACTATCAAATAGTAGTGATAAACAGGGTTTGTTTATAGCACAGTTGCCTGGTGTGGCGAATTTGCGCCATAGGGGCGATTTGACAACTTTGAAGGACAACTATAACGGTTAATATGGTGCCCTATATTCGGGAATCTGGCAATACCTGATGATTCCTAACGTTTATTACGCCAGATTGTTTGCTGACTTGCGCAGTACAACATGACAATCAACGTGACTGAGCACCTGGTAACCCTGGTTTAAGGTGTTATATTTAAAGAGCTTGGGGCAGTTAGGTATCTAGGTCACATTTTTTAATGTATTTCGAGAAATCCGTAATGTTGAGTAAATACTAGATCACGTTTCTTGCTTAGTTTGCTGAAAATTCTACAATAGACGTACATTTTGAGAAACAGAGATTTGGTGACGACAAAATCGTAAAAATATAACGCATTTTCGTAAAATAATTTCTTTGTTGAGAAGACTGTGGCTTGATGACCAATTGAACGAGTATAGTGTCCCGCTACCCTTTGAATATTCGAAACACTATACTCCAGCAGCATTCAGCTTCAATGAAGTTCTAACGTCTAGGCCATACTGATTAAAAGCTTGAATGAATCAACACTTAACTCTAAATTCCCCACAATTCGGGAAGCTCTACTCAAATTGGCAACACATCGTATCTGCCTATTATTCTCATTCGTGATACAGGTCTGCGGTTAACGGTAGGAAATATGTACGAATAGCGATGAAAGTAGACGAGCCGATGCTCTGTTGCCAAGAAATGATTTCCCATGTATAACAATGGTTTTTCCTAAGGTGTATAGTGCATTACTGACTCTGACTGACAGAAAGAATAGAGTCCATTTGCTTGACGCCAATTTTGTGATTAGGCACACGTCCAACTTCTCAAATTAGTCATGCATAGCGATTTTGAGTGTATCTTTATAAGCACTCTGGAACGTGATGCTCCATTTAACTTTCGAACAATAAGCACTTTATTGTCCGTATTACCGGACCTCTTCCAGAAATAATATAGTAACATCCTTGTCGGGGTTTGCGTCAATTGTAATCTCACCTACGTATTATTTATGTAGGATATATTTTGTTACTTTCCTGGTGCTATGTTTATGTTCAGGTTAAAATGGAAAAACTGCAGGCGACAAGATAACAAAGGGCAGAAGCTTGTGATATCTATCAAGGTCGAATAAATCTCTTTTACCGCTAACCTTATTCAGGCGCTATTAGGCACACTCAGCAACCAAGAGTTATGTCATGCTGATTTCGCGCTGCCATACACAAAAGACCTTTTCAGTGATACTGATTTCCATTGGAATATGAATTTGTTTAGAGGAGTCAACCGCCGTATTCACTAAAGAAATCAACATGTTAAGTTTACTTCCTCGGTAATTAATAGTGATATTCAGGATTCAAAAAGAACGGTCTGATATAAACAGCTTCATTTAACGATTGTACTCCTGCTGCAACTAACTTTAGATTTCTGTTAAATCCATCAGAAGTGAAGTTTATAGTTGATGCAAAGAAAGAAAAAATACGAACAGCGGTAAGAAAATTGGAGGAAAGCGGTCTGCTAACTTTTCGCATCGAGAAAAATAAATGCTGATATAGTCGGTAGAAAAGTATAGTTGAGAACTGGAAGGCAAACGCAATTTTTAATACAGAGAAGAATAATTGACAAAAAATTATCGAGCGTTCTTATAACCCTTGAACTCGAAAAACTTAAAATTGGTTCCAGCATTTGTTTCAAATCCATATATCTATGAAAAGAGAATGATTTCATCTAACTTTCGCGATGCTGTCGAGCATCGTTTTCGATTGCAGAGTATGTTACGGATGATGGAGGAAACAGGAATCGATATCTATCGATCCGTCCCATCCATGTTTGAATTACAAAAATACAAGATGAATTTCTTATCTGGCAACTGTAGCAATATAAATAAGTACTTTTATACGTGAAATATGAGACTCCACTGAGATTGTAAGTAATTCATTTGAAATAAGCCAGGGTTTTTAAGCCTTTTTTCTAAAAATATGCGCCCTGCATTTTCCAGCATGTAACGTCCAATATTACTGACCTGTCTTGAAATGCTTGTGAACGGCCTTGATTGAACAATACAGAATACCTGCGAAGGGCTTGGTGGACAAAAACTTCACTTCAACCTCCGCAGAAAAGGGACATTTTTACCAGACACGTATTATTATGATTGAGAACCTATATTTCACTTTCCGCCTGCGGCAGAGCTCATCCGAAG